TTCTAGATTTTTATGTTCTTTTGTTACATTTTCCACTCTTGGTCTTAACTAGTCATACAATCCTTGTTTATGTTCCATGCCACTGTGTGCTTCAACATAGTTCTGCCAAACCATGACCCTTTGTATGCAAACCCACAACAAATTCCACTTGTACCTCACTTATGTATTTCACCCTGTCCAAGCAGCTTATGCTTCAAATAATAAACAGATAATGAACACATTTTGCCAAATGTAGTTATACTAACCACTCTGTTATGAGTAATTTGTTTGAAATATTTCTATGCAGTTACAATGCCTATGGATCATCTGGAACATGTGTAGAAGTGTACATCACATTCCTTGCTGCTACATTCAAGTATCCTTGCAAAATAGCATGCACATCTCAGCTGTGTATCACAGAGGGAAATGGAAATTTCCACTGTCATTTCCCCCAAGTCCTCACATCTCATGGTAATGTTGATAATCCTACGCAGCACAGAGGAATGACTGATCCATTCTTTTATCTCACTGTCACAGATACACAATTTTTAGCTCTCTTTCCAGAGAAGTTTCTTTCCTAGCTTCAGAAATCCCACGTTTCTTTCAGATACTGTATCTCAATAATATTTAGGTGGCAGTTGCATTTCTAATTAGGATGAAAACAAAACACTGTTGCTGAAATGGCTGAAAATGTAAGAGCCACAAAACGATGGATTTTGTAATATTTGTGTATCTGTGCTAGATGTTGGCAGATTGATGCATTTTTACGATAGACAGAGGAGTCAGGCAGAACCCAAGGAGCATTTTTTCTTATTTTGGCAAACATTGGTGTTGCTAGTAATGATTACTGTCACTAACAGGCTGGCCTAGTTAGGGATAAGACTGATGTAAGGGCACAGAAGGAAATTCGCTCCCCAAAGAAAACACAATATTTGTATGCTGTGCTCTTATGCTGTAGGCTATGGATTTCAAGTACTATTTCAATGAACAGATAGAATGGGGGTTAAAACAAAGACATAGCCTCAATGTTTCCTGATATTAAATGAAAAAAAGGTTATTTACTGAAAATCTGCATAATCTCAGTTTGCTATACACAACCAGCAGCAGCTGATGCATCTTTGCTGGCACAGATGCCCAGTTTGCTACCATCTATGACCCATGGTAAGATGCTGGGGCATTGATCAACTGATCTATAAAGAAATACCAATTTTTACAACATACTACAGAGGGCCCATGGGAGTGGACTAGATGACCTAATTATTTTCCTCTTTAATTTCTAGGCTTATTGAGGATAAACTGTTTGCACAGGAAGTTTGTTATACAGATGGGTGCATCTCAGATAAGGTTAGGAAAGAGTCATAACACTACAAACTACTCAAAAGGCTAAAAAGAATGTGGCATGTTTGAACCTCTGTACTGCCAGAGCAGCCTCTGTAATTATGTTACATTAAACTTCAAAAGCTTGCAGTTAGTCTTTAGATAAGGAAATACCATCCTGAAATTGATGATTAACTGAACAGGTACTGAAACGAATGAAACTGTAAATAGATAGGAAAACGCATGTCTCCTGAACACTATTGAGAAATTATGATGGTTGTCATTATTGAAAATGCTTTTAATAGATTGTGTCAAACATGAAAGGCCGCATAATTCCTAAATAACTGTCAGACTATAGAAAAAGCACCACAATATTTTCTCTGAGAAAAAGTGTGAAGCACACAATGTGCCACATGAACAAAATAAGGTTAATGTGTGTGTACAGCCTATATTAGAAACACCAAAGATATTGCATCGCTGAATTGCACAAGACAAAAATCACTGTAGCCAGAAAGCACAGATAAAATTCTTCTTGTACTACAGGGGCATCCTAACTTTGCCCAAGCTTGCCAGGAGCTTGAAGACCTCAATTTGCATGCATACCAGAGCAGCCTTGAGCTATCCTAATTATTAAGATTGCAGCGTAGAATTCTCCAGACCACAGGTCCCAACAAACTATCCTGTAGGCACTTACCTCAACATGGAGAGCTGGGAAACAAAGATGGTCTTGGATTACTGGGAGTCAGCAATTTCCAGGTCTATTTGCAGCTCTGCCACAGATTTCCTGTGTAACCTTGGAAAAGTCATTGAATCCTTCTGAGGGCTTGTCTACACTTGCAGCACTGTGCTGTAGCGCTTAGTGAAGATGCTACCTACGCCAACGGGAGAGCTTCACCCCTCTACAAAGGTATTCCACCTCTCCAAGAGTGATGTAGTTATCCTGACATAAGTTGGTAGTGCAGACCAAGCCACAGTCTCAGTTTCCTTATTTACATAATGTGGGTAATAAAAAGTACTTATCTCACAAGAGTAGTAGTGCAAAGTTTACTTGGTGTTTATAAAACACACTGAAATACTTGAACGGAAAGTAGAAATGCTACTGAAGTATTACTGTATGTCTCTGTTGACCACACCTATGTAGTGATGCAAGGGCATCTGCAACCCACTCCATTTGTGACCTTCAGGCTGAGCTCTGGCCACTCAATACAGTACTGTATACCTTATACTGCACTAAAATAGTACTTATGGGCAGATAGACTTCAGCATAGAGTATTAAGACAAGAACTAGAAATTTGGTCAAAATACCCTAGTCAAATCCGTTGAATCACAATTTCATACAAGGTAGATCCATGCACTACACAGTCAGGTATTACTACAAGCTCTCCCATGTCAAACATTACTGTGTATGTATGAAAATCTGGGGGAAATATCTTCAGTAAGGATTCTTACTAAATCCAGTACTACATATCATAACTACTATATAATTGAGATTATACCTTTAAATTTGGGCAGATGGAATAAAGCCTTAAAATAAACCTTCTGTTCACTATTAGAACAGCAATAAAACAAACTTCAAAATAAATAAATAAATAAATAAGATGAGTCCAAGTTACTTTCCCAGATCAAGTGAAACCCCAAACAACAAAATGCTCTATTTTTAGTTAAAAGATTTTAAATCCCTTCTTTTCAAAGACCTCTATCAGAGTCTTATGCTAGAGATGGATTTCTCATTCTGAGTACAACTGTATTTGTCATCGCTTGAACAGGGCTATTCAAACCAATAAGTACCAAGAGTGGTTGAAAGGACCTTGTAGTTAAACAGTTCAAATTTATTACATTATTTGAGGACGGGAAGAGGGGGAAGGGAAGCCTCAGTCAACCTTCTCTACACACGTGCATTCATGATACAGTTAAAATCCTCTTGCAAGCAGTAAAAGCACTAACATGCAGGGCCAAATCCCACCATTATTTACGCTTATCTATACAAAACCACTGAAGTCAATGGAGTTACATGGCTGTACAGGAGGGCAGATCTGATCCACCCATGCTGATTTCTTTCTATCAGAAATTTTTAAAAAAATAAAATAATAGATGTTTGGGCTTCTTCAAGAAGCAGTCTTTAGCTGAGTCATGAAGACTATCTGTACTACCCAGCAGTCACTGTCAGGCTTGCTTCACTGTAATATGCATGAAATCTAGTATTTAGCCTACATCCTAGGCAATAATGAGGTCATCATAAGCAGAGCTGCCAAGTCTTATTTATCACGTGACGTTCTCGTGCACTTGGCAGCACTGCCCGACATTCCCACCTCACAGTGGAGACCTCATGCATCCAGTTGGGCTACAAGAATGGCCTGCCATTGTTACTATTGACTGCCAGTGGCCACTGTGGTACAAGCAGCCAGCCATCTCCCCTCTCCTTGCTGAATCCAAACAGGGTAGGAGCAGTCAGGAGGAGCAGGCAGAGCAGAATGGAGACAGAAGATGAGGGGCCCAGGCACAAGCCCCATGTTTCCTCAACTTCCCTTCCCCCAAACACCTCATTCAGCTTCCTCCCCAGACATGCTTTCTCCATGCATTTATGCATCCCCAATTGCCAGTTTTTGTGCATCTTCATTTCCTACCACCAGCATGGTTCAGGACTGGGTGTGTTGATGTTTATGGATATATGAAAGTTGTTTGCAAATATGCAAATTTGTCTGTTAAGTAATTTGCACAAAATGTCACACACGGAGCAGCAAAAATCTGGCAGCTTTGCTAAGGTTAGGGATGGCTGATCCACTGGGACTGCACGCCTAAATGTACAACTACAACAGCAATTTATACTAGATTACAACAGTGCTGGTGGTAAGGCAGAACAGAGGCCAGAACAAAGGAGCATAGACTCATTTCCTCAGGTGAACTGCATACAGATATGTCCAAAAGTTAATACAGATGTAGGTGCTCAATGGATCTACATGCTGATCTACATGCTCATTTCAGACAACCAAGTCTGAAAGTTAGGCTCATAGCAAGCAAGAAAATGAAGAAACATCCAAAATGAATGAGAGTTTCTGGCAATTCTTTCCCCACACCCACATTTCTTGTATTTGTGAACATGAGGACTGCTAGTCTATGTTTCTTATAGTCTCTAGGTATGTAACCAAGTCAACGGAGCTGACTTCTCCTTGCCGACAGTGCAATTTCCCCCCAAAATAACACAATGCTTGTGTTCATGTTTACAAGAGATTTAGCATATACCCTCACTCGGAGTGTCAAAAAACAGCAGCAGGTTATTACAAACATATTTGCCATACATTTCAACAACTTTTTGTATTGATTTACAGATCTAATAAAATGGATTCCTAATTCTTTTTTTGGACAGCATTTCTCAAAGTTATACAATAAGAATATTTTTGCACACCTCAGCCATAAATAATAAATGTTGGCACTGCTAGAAAGGCTCTCTTTCAGAGGAGGAGAAATTGCTAGAAGACAATTCCAGATTTATTTAATTTAACATCCTATAATCTCATTACATTTCTAAAGACTCACTACGCCGTGGGTGTTCAAACTGGACATAAGTAAGATATATATTTTACTCAGTATACATAGCATTTATTCAGGATCTTAAATTTCAGTAAAAGACAGGCAGAGTTTAAAGAACAAACTTAAAATGTTTATTCAGCTATTTTTACAATATGAAAATTTGGATGAGAACTTACTGTAAGATTCCAGTTGATCTGTGGTATTCTTGTGTGAAGATTTAGACTGAACATAAGCAATAAAGCTCCAGTAACTACAAATGCACTACAGCTCACAAACTCAAAGAAATAAAGGCCTTCGCAAGGGGAGCATTCCATGATGGTCTCTATGCAGATGAATGCAATCAGTGCCAAAACCTAGGAAAAAAAACAAATGGAAAAAATATAAATAGATTTCCACATTTTGAAAATAGCCACAAGTATTCCTGAAATTTCCATTGGGAACATGATCAGTTTACTCTCAAGAATGTGCAATTTTAGTTTGGAATAGGGCACTATTTGAAAGCAAGAATAAAAGGAATTAGTGCAAGACTTTTTGGGTACTTCATGTATCACAAAACTTATAGTAACAAAATTATATTGATCTAAAGTCAACGTAGCCACTGGTCATGGGCTACCGAAAAAAGAACCCCCTTTCCTAAGCCCAACAGTATAAAGTGCAAACGATAAAGCAAACATTTTATTTCCTTTTTAAATTATTCATATGTCTTTTCAGAACTTGGAGAAAATATCCAACTGATTTTGCTTATTAGTGCCAACCACATCCAGATCAATACCATTTAAAAATGCCTTTTCCCATTATATTTATTTCAAGGGTCGGTCAACTTAGAAATGTAGTCAGTTTAAATAAAAATTTTAGAATAGCTTCAAATGTTCTCCACGGACCTCACCCCATTGCTATGATTTGAAAATTCCCTACTTCTGCAAATACTTAATTCCCCTCTCCCCTCCTCCCCATCCTTTGTTGTTGAGTTACAGCCTCACATAAAGGAAAAAGAGTCTAAAGTCCTGATCCTGCAAATGCTTACACGCTTTAAACTTTGCGCAGGGAGCAGTCCCATTGAATTCAATGAAGGTGTAAAGTTAAGCACATGCGTAAGTCCTAAGTGTTTGCAAGACTGCAGGGGATAGAGTGAAATATACTCTGTAAAATGAACTAAAATATTAGAAAAAAGGAATCTCTCAGATAGCAGTCTTAACCATAATAGGTATAATTCAGATATAAATGCAATTTTCATGTTGACAATTCCCCTTTAAAAATAACTTGTGGGGAAAAAATTGGGCAGGTGCCTTCTTGGTTCTTTGTATGCTGTGAAAAATTTGGGAACTTTATCTGTACAAAGTAAGAATCCTGGTTTTACTATGAAGTTATTAGAAAATTGCTGTATCAGGGAAAGCCTCTATGTGAACGTGGAATCCACCCCTTGCTGACAAGGACTGTGTCCCAACAAGCCACAATGGAGAGTTGTTAACTATAACAACTGCACTCTGACTGAACCACCGGTATGCTAAGGAGGCTGGCTGGAGCAGGGAGAAGCTATTTCTTTCAGCTTGTCTGCAGGGGGCTGAAGAAGTGAAGATGGAGAACACCAGCAGCAGAACAAAGGAACCAGGTGTTGGTAGGGGGCCACAAACTTGAGAGACTCTCTGAGGCAGGGACAGGAACTTTGGGGAGGAGAGGGGAAAGAGACAGGCAGGTTTTCATAGCAGGGAGTACTGTTTAACTGCAACTGGCCACAGTCAGAGAAAGCTGACCTAGAGGGAGGCTCCATGTCTCTGAAGGGAAGTCATAAGCTGGAGAGGAAGGATCCTGGTCACCCCAGAGGGCTCTTCCCAAGCCCAAAGAACACTTCAGAGCTGTGAAAAACCAGAGGCAGGGAAATGCCTAGAGTTGTGTTTATTATTTTACATGGATCTGTGTTTCTCATGCTATAAAGTAAAGAACAATGGTATTTTAGAATCCTGTGCCAAGTCTATCTGTGTCTGTTCACTTCACTATCACATGCCCCTGAAGAGGTAAACTTTAAACCCAGGGTTCCCACATGGCTGGAGTTCTGGGAGAGAATATGTCTAAACTGCGAGGGAGTCTAAGGCGCCAGCACGGTCCCAGGAGCTAGGCAGTTGGTTCATGGGGTCTCAGTTCTCAGAATGGGGTGCTAGACAGAATCTGTACCCCAACAGCATGCCTAGAGACCCCACGCCAGGGACAGTGTCTGGACTCCATTCTGACTCTGGAGGCTTAAAGCACAGGGGGCCCAGTGAGGTGGATCCCCTCACAGCAGCCTCGTGAGTGTCCAACAGGAGTTCAGCCAGATCTGTGACATCTATAAAGGCAGCCTGAAGGATGTTTGATGTTGATTACCCACCTCACCCCCAAAAAAGGCGTTCCCCCCCCCTGCTTCTCAGAAATTCTGTTTAGCCTGGAAGACTCTACAGTGACTGGAGAAGTAGCAAGATAACATCACTAGAGTCCTAAGAGATGAAATTAAGCAACTATGGGGAGGTGGGAGTTTTTAGTCAGACTGTTTAAACTCTATTTATCTGTTAGTTTCTAAATGTAAAACACAAGGAGAAATATAACTTTCAAGCCTTCTTTATATATCAAACAGCAAAGAGTATCAAAAGACTATTGCACCCATAACAGAAGGGAAAATTCTATCCCCACTGAACTTAATTGCAAAACTTCCAGAGACTTCAATGGGGCAATGCTGTGCATACAGTTCTCGTCTCATATTCTTACCCTAGACTCTAAACACTGAGTCAGTAATTACAACTTTGGCAAACACTATACAACTCTATTCCAAGCACACACTTTTCTCCTCTGGCCTGCCTCAAGGGCTAGTATCACCAGTTTCATCAGTTCAGTCAGGCATGAGCAGGACTTAATCAGGCTAGCACTTTTCGAAGTGCTCTCCCATTTCAGCTCTCACAACAGTTTCTGTGAGGTCCTCACATCTGTTGTAGTTAGAAATGTTAAGTTAACCAGGGCAAGTCAGCTATGGGATTGTAGGACTTCTGCCAAAAGGAATGAACTGGTGAAAACAGAATTGTTCATGTCCAATATCCCTTCCTATACCGATTTTAGATCTCCTAGATGATTTTCTGTAATTACGGCCTAATGCCTTTAGAGATTTAAAAAAAAGAAAAACATGAATATTTTATGTTCTGTTCTTTGTTCTTTCTCTATAGCTCCTCTAAAACATGATCCTTGATTAAGGTAGAGACTCACCTCTCCTCATCTGAGAAACCATATTGTGAGAGGAAAGATGGTCCAGTGCTTAGGGCACTAGCCGGGGACTCAGGAGACTGACTCAATTTTCTGCTTTGCCACAGACTTCCTGTGTGAAATTGGGCAAGTCACTTAGTCTTTCTGGTTCCCAGTTCCCCATCTAAAACAGAAATAATAGGACTTCCCTCCCTCAAATTGATGTCTAGGGTAAACACTCTAAAAATTGTATGATACTAATGTAATTAGGGGCACATAAGCACTTGTAGAAGACATATATAAAACTAAAGTATTAAAGTTAGCCTAAGTTTAATTAAGAAAATAACATGGGTCTTAGCACCCCAGGTTTAGCCCGTTTGTAAGTATCTTGATCAAATGCTTATAAATATTTTGTTACCGTTTTGATGTAGTAAATTGCTTATTAGTTAGGCTTTTTAGGCATATTTACAGCAATTGTATAAATACCATTTGGCTTTTGGATTTAATGAAGAAATTTATGGTTACATTAGTGTTTGATGGTTTCCCGTATCAATATTAATAATTTCAAGGAAACTCATACTATGTCTTGTTTCTGTCTACTTCTTCATTGTGGTGTGACTATACATTTAGATTTAAAGAACAACATAGGCACTTACTAAGATACAACTCAATCCAACCCTTATGAACACAATCTCTCCATCACTACTACAAAAAGCACCTAAGCAAAAAAGTCCAGTCACAAAAAGTCACGATCAATTTCTGCTAGCTCGGGTATATCTACACATGTTGCAATCACAGGTATGTCTAAACAATATTTTTTAACTGAGCACAGTGTAAACAAACAGATTAAAACACTGAATATAACTGCTAGGTTTGGGTCCAACCTTGACATTACATAGCAAAAATAAAACCTGTCAATCACAATGGCTATATACAAAAGTCAAACGTTGATGTGAAGAGTCTGCTAAACTAAAAGCAGGATAGTCTGCCAGGAGGTGGCCTGATCTTGCATTAACAACACATAATAAAGTCTAACATTACTGTAAATAGCTGCCTCACAATTGACAGTAATTTGAATTACTAACTTCAGAGGAAGAGAGCACTTTTATGAACCTTCAATTTATTCATGAGCATTAATATCAAGCTTTTGCAACTAAACTTGAGCTGTTAATTGGCTAACTTCTAAACTCTTTTAGAAGTTACATTGAAAAGCCTCACACATCGTGATTTATATAACTGTAGTCCAAAAACAGCTCCAACAGCCTTTTTAAAATGCTCTCAAGTGTTTTATATTATAATAAATGTATTGTACAACATTCTCTAGATAGATTACAGTACATGATTCTGTGCAATTCTAACCCCATTCCTAAAGTATACACAATACATAATTGTGCCAGAGTAACCAAAAAAATTCGATAGGAGGAGCTAAAAACTGGGTCAGATTGATCATTACAACTGGAAACTACCGTGCAGCATATGGGGTCTTTTTGTTCTGCTGATGAACTGCTTTTCCCCTACGTATTCATCTCAACAGTAAGCTTAAAAGGGAACCATCGCCTTATACAAAATTAGAGACAAACATAGGGTAAAAGAGACACCTAGCATGATGAATTTTGCACAAAATGTGTTAATTTCCTAGTCCTGAGTTATGATGGATAAGAAAGTACTAAAACTTTTGAGCAATTATTACGTGTAGACTGCACTTTATTATTCAATATAGGAGAAAGGGCATTCACCTGTGAGACACACTCCTGTAAGTAAAGTGCTATTCCTATATTAATGGACTGAAAGCAAAATCATGTGGTGTTAGCATAGTCATTTAAGCAAAATTTTATTGCATTAACTTGGAATTATGCATGTTTTCTTGGAGTGGGCCAACATTGATCTTTCTTGGAGGAAAAACATGATTAAAAATTGATAAAAAATAATTGCAACTGCTTCAGCTTAGGGTACAAACATTGAACATAAAGTTAAAAGTGAGATTTTCAAAAGCATTTAAATGTTGGCATAACTCTGCACCCACTTAATGGAATTTTACCACTGCCTTTAATGAAGGAAGCATTAGGCCAGGGGTCGGCAACGTTTGGCACGCGGCTCGCCAGGGTAAGCACCTTGGCGCGCCGGGCCAGTTTATTTACCTGCTGACGCGGCA